AGATTTAGCCAAGGAATGTGGATTTCTCTAGCACATTTCAGCCACTGTAACTGTGACACCAGATCAGAAGTGACAATTTAGCACCAGCAGCAGCTGCTGAAGTGTTCTCTCTGCACTTCCCAGAAACCATTGCTTTCCTTCTGCCTTTTTCAGCCTTCATTCTAATTCTGGTGCAGGATTTTTTTTTTCTGCTCATTTCACAGTGCCTTGCCATTACTGCCTCCCTTGCTCTTTGCCTTAATGTCTCCTATGGGTGTTCTTGTCCAACAGAAATCTAGAAATTCAGGCAGCAAAGTGGACACTTGGGCATTAAATGGTCAAACAGAGTTAGTGAAATACAAGATTTCTGGTCCCAGCTGCAGTCTCTGAAGACATGGAATATCTCATCTTTCAACCAAAGGTTTGCTTTTCTGCCTGGTTATAGGCCCTTTCATCAGAATACAGAAGTTGCATTTCTCCTGTGTGGCACTCAGAAGTCATAGCTATATATATCCACGACAGGCAAAAACCCCAGTGAGGATATGTTCTTCCAAACTACCTGAAACCACTTCTGACATAGAAACCAATCTTCAAGGAAGGAGAATCTACCAGACATTTCTGTTTAGAACACAATTTCAGGCTCAGATTCATTTATTTAGTCACTTTATAATATTGTTTCCATCAGATTAAATATTCAGATGCACAGATTCTAAAGACATTCTTTCTGCATTATGTCATCTACCTAAAGGAAATTTTGAGGAGTCCCGTGGCCTATTCCCACCCCTTTGTTAGATTTCATAAATATTCTCACAAAGAGTTAACTATCACATTTAAAGAACAACTAAAATATTTCATGTAAAACCTCATAGGTCTTGAAGTAGGCTGTAATCCTGTTGGTAACCATCCCCCCACTCTTGGCCTTTGCAAACTGAAATTATAATTCTATAGTTTCTACAGAAATCTATGTTTTTCTTTTTAGATATTGATAAAGCTGGAGAACAATTGCCAGTCTTATCTTGGAAAACAATTCTTTCTGTTTCTCCAAATTCCTGTAACCTGTCTTCATGTATTCTTAATTTCCAAACTTTTTAGATGAGCTAGTAGTGTTCATGTCCAACAGCATATATCTGCTATAGGTTAATTTGGCTAATGCAGAGTGAATTTTAGATTCTTACTTAGACTGCCCATACATCTGTCTGTTACTTAACAATGCAAGAAATGATTTAGTAAAGTTAATGATCCATTGGGAAGGCAAAAGTAAATTCAAATAATGAAGCATCTAGGACTCTTCTCTGTGCATATAAAACAGCATTTTAATGAGCTAAATGAGTTTGAATATTTAAACTCTGAATAATGCTTACCATTTGTTATCCAAACTTAAAGCAATATTCCATATATAATCCATAATCTGAGAGGCTTGTTTTCAGTGGCTGCTTCCTACCTACAAAGTATAAAAAATGTTCTTCAAATGCACATGATAGAAGAGGCTATGTTATAAATATCAGAAGAAACATAAAAGGAATATATGAAAGAATGACTTTGTGAGAATGAGAAATAGTTGCAAGACTTTTTGGAGTAGATTATGTAGGAACTGAAAGAACTTCTGTTTAAGTTCTATAAACAATGTACTAAGCAGATTCCTGCCTTCATGGTGAAAAATGATTGCTGAAAATAAGGAGGTCAGTGGGTCTAAATACAGGTAAATTATAGCATCTGTTGACATTTTAAAGTGATTTCAGAGAAAATATAATGCTTTTTCACATTAGAATTAAAGGAACTATTCATAAACAAAGAATTGTAAACTCTTCTCAACTGTCTGATAAATTCTCAACCAAAGCAGAGATTCCCTGACAGAATCACTGACATAATTTCCTATCTTCCACTATAAACATTTTGGGGACAAGGAACCTGTTCCACATATTACACAAAATTTGTCCTCCCTTTAACTTTCACCCAGTGTTGAAGATGTAATGGTATATAAGTCTATACTCTACCACAAAGCAACCATTTGTATGTATAAAATAATTAATATCATCTAGTATCAAGTCTTCCAATTTTAGAGTATCACTCAATGTCTTCAACAATTTTTCAAATGAAAATGGCACCAGAACCACTTAACATCTTTAATAGCTCTTGACAAACTCCAGTTAATAGTCTCTAGAGTGGACTCAGAATTGAACACCAAGAATCCATGTGGGATCTGACCAGTAAAAAAAAAAAAACAGGAATTATTAAGTATCTGGAATACTACTGGAATTCCAGTAGAGTGAATTTCTCTCCTAATAAAACACTTAAACCATTTTTATGTGATGGTCTAGCAAAAAGCAATTTTTAAATTTTTAACCTTTTCTTCCTATGAGTACTTTCTGTGTGGTCTAGTATTTTTTCTTTTTCCTTTCTTCCTGATGGTAGCAGACAAATATTATTTGTATCTCCATATCTTTACATCCTGCAATTCTATATCTCTAGATACTAGAGGCAAACATGCCTCATTCTTCTCCCAACTGCTATAGTTTAAATGTTTTATTCCCTCCAAAATCCATAAGCTGGGAACTTAACACCGTTGGAAGGTGGGTTCTAATGAGATGTGCTTATGTTATGTGGGCAGAGCCATCATTGATGGATTAATGCTACTACGAAAAGGGCTTGTGAAAAGTTTTCCCCCACTTCTGCTATGTGACAACACAGCATTCCTTCTCTCCAGTGAATGGAACAATAAGAGGCCATCCTGGAATCAAAGACGGAGCCTGCTGGCATTTTGATCTTGGACTTTCCAGCCTCCAGAACTGTAAAAGAATAAATTTCTGTTCTTTATGAATTACTCAGTCTGTGGTATTATGTTATAATAGCACAAACAGATACCCTACAATCATGCCTCTAGTTGGAGTAAGCAATAAATTGGTCGAGTCGGGAGATGAGCATTAATCCAGTCAAGGTCCTTTCTTTTTAAATTTTGAGTCAAAGAGATTATCTTCTTCTGTAGGGATGAAACTATGCGATGTGAAATATAGGAACTCCTAGCAGTAGCCTGGGGAAAAAAAAACCCTAAGAAAGATAGCCTGGGAGAAGAAAGCCAATACGTAATCCTGGTTCCAATTATTCCTGAAGCTTAGCTGGACCCTTAGGTTCTCCATGGATGCATGAGCTAATAAACTCATTTAAAGCAAAAAACAAAAACAAGCAAACAAAAAAAACCAACCAAACAAAAAAACAACAAAATACCTTTCCAGCAAAACAAGTAGTGACTTGCATATAGATTTTACTGTCTACAGTTTTTATTTATTCCTCTTTCTCAATTTGATGTCCTATATTAGCTTTCTATTATTACTGTAATAAATTATGATCAACTTAGTGGCTTAAATAATACAACTTTATTATTTTACAGTCCTATAGATTAGTAGCTAGCATAGGTCCCACTAGCTAAAACCAAAGTGCTGTCAGGTACACTCCTTTCTGGAGACTCTGGGAAAGAATATGATTCCTCATCTTACAGAGGCTTCTAGAGGCCATCTGTGTTCTTTAGTTTACGAATCCCTTCCTCCAGATTTAAATGCAGCAATGTTGGATCTCTGACCGTTCTTATGTAGTTACATGTCCCTCCAATCCTCGTCTTATCTGAAAAGGTTTTTGTAAGGACTCTTATTAAATTGGACCTACCTGGATAATCTAAAATAATCTCCTTATCTTGATGTCCTTAATTTTAAGCACATGTGCAAAGTCTCCCTTGCCACGAAATGTAACATATTCATAGGTTCTGGGAATTTAGGCACATACATATTTGAGTGAGGGTGGAATCATTCTGTCTACCACTAAAAAACAAAAAAGGCATTTCATTTCTCATTATTCAGTTCAGTAATAAAAATGTTAAACAGGAGAAGTCAAAGATATGCTTCACAATAATAGCAACATGTTAATCAACACTATTTGGAAACCATTGTATTATATCAAAAAACTCTTTCAAAACAGTTTTTCTGGGGAGAAAATTTCTGCTGGTTTTATCTTTTTATGAAGATGCTTTTGGAGATCTTTACTGGATTTCCCCAGCTACAATCAGAATGCAATCTCTGAGATGTAGAAATAAAAGTATTTCCATATCCACATACTTGAAGCCTAAGGCTGCTATTATTCCTGAGCATAGAGAGTAAACACAGCATCTCTTTGTTTTACTAATTGCTTTGTTTCTCTAAGCTGCAAGTACAACATCTGCCAGACCAGAATGCACTCCTTCCACACACCACAGAACCACGGCTGGATAAACGACCTACACATCATGGTGTAAGGGCAGGCACTTTGCAGGCAGCCGGAAGGCAGTTTTCAAGAGGCAAGGACCACAAATGGAAATGAAGCTGAATCACCCTCCAGAATCTTTAAAGTGGTTATGGAGTTGTTGATTCTGTAATGATTTCATACTGTCTGCAGTTTTATTGATTTTGTTTTTCAATAGAACTGTTAAAGATTACAATTCTAAGATAAGCAGAATGTGGGCAGATGCTCACATTCTCACACACAGTTCTGCCAAGATATTTTTACATCTTTCTGCACATAAAACAAAATGAAGACATGTGCTATAGATGCACGCTACCAGTAACCCCCCCACCCCCACTGTCACCATCCCCAGAAGAAGGGAGTTTACTGTATGGTAATTTCCTGGATGAGGTATTAAATTTTACTTAGAAAAAAAATTAACAGCACTTCTAAAATAAAAGAGATTTGCTTCAAAGGCACTTCATAAAATATTCTTAATTACCAAAAACCATTGAAAAGGCAATTTCGGTCATCATATCCAAATGTCATCTCTGCTATTTCCAATTCAATATTAAACTTCATGCCACATCAAAATATAAAATGCTGCAACAGCTTACATACTGTTGATGTTAATTCATCTACTGCATATCAGAATAGCTCATTGCAAATATGGCATGAAAGAAAGAAAAGTAAGCAAAACACACTCAGAAAAGACTTGAAACACATTGCCTCAAGGAAAACACTCCAGAGGAAAGACTGCAAAACCATAGCCTTACCTTGGGAGACTTGAGCAGGTCCGCCGTCCTTTCTTCTGTTAAGGTTAGCAGGGTTAACTTTGTTTCCTCTACTGAGGGGTGTTTGGGAGGGCGAGGTGGGGGGTGTGAGGCTGAGCTTTCATATCTCCGCATCATGTAATATTGCTCTTCAGTGATCTCTTCTACCAGAGTCCTGACTAGAAATGGTTCTGTATCCCTAGAGAAATTACTAACTAACTGAACAGTCATATTCAAGCGGCCCACAGGAATTTCCCAGCACTCCGCAGGGTTGGCAAAGTCACTGATGAGTAGGTAAGAGTCTGTGATGTCCTCCTCCAACTGCAGTCCTGGTGTAGCAGCCAGCACGTCCTCTTCAATGGAAAGATCCCTGACAGATACCTTCACATTGAAGGGCAAGCGGAACTGCTTACAGAGCTCAGAAATTGGGTACTGTTTCTTATCATGAATCACCTCTACAAAACCTCCTTCCATGTACAAAGGGAGCAGCACTGCCTCATAGGATTTTTTGAGAATTTTTTCACAGGCCAGAACATTCACCACTTTTTTAATTCCCTCACAGAGGACTTCAGCCGTCTCTGAGTGATGCACCAGAAACTGGTCCCCAACAGATACAGATGACAGCTTGTCATGAGGGGAATGAAAGGCTTTGGTGGCCACCACATGAAGAGGCTCCTTTTCACTCTTAGCGATCTCTAGGTCATAGGCCGTTGGAAACTCCCTTGGTCGCCGCTTGAACTTGCCTTTATAGCTAGTGGGGATCAAGAAGTGTCTTTTTGGAAAATTGCTTCTAATTTCAGAAGCTAAGATTCTTGATGCCTGGTATTTTTTGTGGATCACAATGGTTTTCCCAGGCTGTAAAATGCTTTGGGGCAGGTGGTTTCCTTGAGGTGCTTCTATGACTTCAGTCACTATGGGGAACTCTTTACTGGTCATTTCAAAAAGATCTTGTGTTGATAACAGCTGAAGAAACCAGTTGGCATCATAAGAATCAGTAATGTCTTTGACTTCGACATCTAGGCTGGGGAGGATGCGGACTACATCCTTTCGAACTGAAAAGAAAAAAAAATCACTATGATATTTTTGTACTTCAAACTGTTTGCTGCAAGATACTCTCCTGGTGCCATAAATTTCTTTTTCAATATAAAGAACTCAGATGATCATAATATATTGTTTCTTATGTGTGATTTTCATTTTTTTCAAATTTTAAGATGAAAGAGATTGAATAGAAAACCAATACCCCTAAGTCCATACTCAGTTTAAGAAATGACAGTAGCCAATACCTTGGAGCTCTAGGGAACCTCCTCAAAATCACATCCTCACTTCTACTGATGCACAATCACTCTCTTGATTCTAGTGTAAAATATTCCTGTGTTTATATGCATACTTTTATCATTTGTAACATACATGAACATAGATATGTGTGTGAATATGTATGTAAATATGTTCATAAATTTTATATGAAGGTTTATAAATTATTAGGTCATTTTAAGTCATGCCCTTGAGGTCTAGACTTTATTTATCAAATTATCATAGAAGAAAGTTTTGACGAAAAACATATATTCTTTATACCAAATCATACCCTGTGAGATGAAACAATACTGCAAAATCATGATACAAGCTAGTTGAGATTAATATATGAAAATAAATTCGAAGATGCAATATTTTTCCAAGGTCAAAGTTATTCCTCCACTGGTGTTATATTGTACCTGCCTACAAAAGGAGTGGTGTAGAATGGGTCACAATCAGAGGAGCCATTCCGGAGCCCTAGGTATGCTGGAGGGTACTCACCAATGTATTCATTGCCTTATGCATCACTGGGGTTAATGGACATCTGTATTTTTTCCAAGCACCCACTGTCTCATGAGTCTTTCTTTGAGACTACAGAGACACTGAAAATATTTTCCTGCATTTACTTATCTGTTCCTCATATACTACCCAATATAGTATCATTATAAATGGTCCTGAATTAATAAACTTATGTATTAGCCAGGCACTGTGTCTCATGCTTATAATCCCAGCATTTTGGCAGGCTGAGGTGGGAGAATTCCTTGAGCCCACGAGTTCGAGACTAGCCTGGGCAAGATAGTGAACTCTGTCTTTGTACAAAAAAATAGTAAAAAATTAGCTGAGCCTGGTGGTATGTCCCAGCTACTCAAGAGACTGAGGTGGGAGGATCGCTTGATCCTGAGAAGCAAAGGCTGCAGAGAGACATGATCACACCCACTGCATTTCAGCCTAGGTGACAGACTGAGACCCTCTCTCAAAAAATAAAAATAATAAATAAATAATAAAGTTATGTGTTAATATTAACAAGGTATTATAATAGTCTATATTTTCTTGATAATTTACTGACATAAGTTTTATAGCATTTTCATGACCTGGCATTGATTTGCAATATCTCCAGCCACCCTTCTGTCATTTTTTCTTCTCTTCATGCTTTTAAAAATGAACAATATGGAAGACTTAGAAGATAAAATATCTTCTTATAAAATATTACATATATTGTTACTTTTAATATTATTAACCATTTATGCAGAATCAAAAAACCCTATGATTTACATAATATTACTTGTATATCTAGTGTAATTATAGATTTTCTGAAGATGCAGCATGAAAAAAAGTATTATTTTCTTGTAAAGAAAAAAATCAGTGGTTGCCTATAAGCTGAGGGTCTGTAAAATCACAAAGAATTTTTTAATTTTTAGGAAAAAGAGAAATGGCTGAAAGAACACTTCTTACATTAATAAGTTATTTCATAAAGTTTAGCATATACTAACTTTTGACATTGTTCCTACTGGCTTCCCTGAACCTCAAGATAAGTTTAGAAACTAAAATCCTCATTATTTGAATCAAAATGAGCTAGGTTTAAGAATTCTAGCCGGGCACGGTGGCTCACGCCTGTAATCCCAGCACTTTGGGAGGCCTAGGCGGGTGGATCACGAGGTCAAGAGATCGAGACCATCCTGGGTGAAACCCCGTCTCTACTAAAACTACAAAAAATCAGCTGGGCATGGTGGCGCGTGCCTGTAATCCCAGTTACTCAGGAGGCTGAGGCAAGAGAAATGCCTGAACCCAGGAGGCGGAGGTTGCGGTGAGCCGAGATCGCGCCATTGCACTCCAGCCTGGGTGACAAGAGCGAAACTCCGTCTCAAAAAAAAAAAAAAAAAAGAATTCTAGAGCTAGCTCTAGATAGGCTCATTCCTCAAGTCTAGGGAATAGCTAGAGATTGGTAGAATAGATCCCATCAAGAACTTCCTGAGAACTCAGAATTGATCCACCAGAACATTAGAGTTTCAACACAAGCCAGATCCCAATCTTTCTTTGTACACGGTGAGTGCAGTGGGCTAGGAAGAGCTTTAACGCATTGGAGGACTTTGCTGCTGCTGGAGGAAGCATACAAGCTATGCTATCTAAACTCCTAAAGTTTTATATTCAATTACTGACCTATCTTCAATACTTCTGTGCCTAAATTACTGAAATAATGCTAGCCTATCTTATTTTACTTAAGATATCAGTAGCATTTGACAAAGTAGATTAGACTTCCTCTTCTTTGATACATTTTTCTCACTTATTTTCCTCTTATCTCACTTGTGATTCTTCTCGGTTTTGCTGGTTTCTTCTCCCTAAACACCACCCACCCCTCACACACACCTTTTAGGGTGTCTTGGTTCTCTTTTTCCCTCTCTACGCTCACGCCTACACTGATCTTAAGTGGTCTCATGTCTTTAAATATCATCTCTATGCTGATGACTACCCAAAGTATAGCTCCGGCCAAATCATTTTCCTGAATGCTGTATGTCTGCTTCAGATCTCCACTTGGACATCTAATAGATGTCTCAAAATTAACGTGCCTAAACCGAAATCTAATATTCCCCCAAAATCTAAGCTATATACTGTCTTCCCAGTCTCAGCTTTTGGAAACTCTTTTCTTTTTTTTCAATCCATAAATCTCAGAGACAGCCTTAGCATTTCTCTTTTTGGTAACTCTTTTTTACAACAGGATGGTCCTGATGTAAGAAATCTCTTACATCAGATGTAAGAGATTTCTTACATCAGGACCATCCTGGTCTCAGCCACGTTATCACTTGTCTGGCCTGTTGCAGTGGCTTTCTAAACAGTATTATTGCAGCCAAATCTGAATAGGGAAGACAAGTATTATTTTCAGATGCTAAATAAATTATGTCTGTCTTCTGTTTATAAGCCTACAGTGTCAGTCCTTTCACTTAGTATAAAAGCCAAAGACCTTACCTGGCCCCTGGCACCACCTGGACCCCATCTGCTACTCCTGTCTCACTCTAACTCTCCACTGTCTCCCAGACCTCCTCATTGTCAGTCAGATCTTTGCATAGCCTATTTCCTCTGCCTGTTACATTCTCCGGCCAGACATGTTCACAGCCAACTCCTCTTCTTCTTCAAGTCTGCTTATATCATCTTGGCAATGAGACCTACTCTAGATGCTCTATTTAAAATTGCAAGCTTCTCTTCTGTTTGCCCTTTTCTGTTTCTCTATTTCATGTCACCCTTCACCTTCTATCATCCATATAACTTGCTTATTTATATTATGATCATTGTCTATTGTTTCCCTAAACTCAAACATATGCCTTCCCAGAGACAGAAGTCTTTCATTGTTTTCTTCATCAGTATATCCCAATGTCTAGAACAGTGCCTGGCACATATTGGATACTCAATAAATGAATTAATGAATAAAAAATAATTGCCAGAACAAAGTCCATGAGTGAGTATTAAAGGAAGCAATTCGGTAAACAAATTCTATATAAAATTTTATTGGAGAAAAAAATGTTTTCAATGTTAAAATTTCTGCTACTATTCATAGCAAGTATTGCATATTTAAGACATGTCTCTTAAGGTTGCAGTTTAACTTAATCAATGGCTGTTCAATGCAATAAATACTTGTATTGTTTAATTTCTATAACATAATAGAGGTACTAAGGTATAAATATATGAACAAAGTAAAATATATTTCATCTAAACTTTTTTAGTAAAAAGAAATTAGGCAAAATTGTGACATTTATGCCTAAAGAGAAGATTCAATATAGGGAAATAGCATGTATGGTGAAAATCAACAACTCTTCTTAGATTCACCAGAGAATTGAGGTCACAGGGCAAACCACCACCCCAGAAACTAAACAGGTAGGTGAATACAAACAGTCATAGCTCACTAGGAGCAAAAACCACTGCTGGAGGCAGCACCTGGAAGAACACAGGGGTACCTGGGGACTAAGGGTGGGTTCATTTAAGAGATAGAACTCCCAGGGTGGCAGGAGCATGTTGAAGAGGATCTCCCAACTTTTCTGAGTTTCAGTTTCAGGGGCCCATCCAGGGTGAAAACTTGTGCTTCTGGCAGGGTAAGAGAAAAAGCAACCATTCTGAAATATACCCAGAACACTCTATTCTCCTTAAAAAATGCCTGTCCTCAAGGAAAACTATTTTAGCACAGCCTAACCAACTTGTGTTTTACCAGAGCCTAAATGTGATGGGGAAAGAGAATTACCCAGCCAAGCCACATCTACTATTCTAAGTAGGGAAAAGGTAATACCCAACTCCAACCTCCTCTGTACTTCCACATAAAGGAAGGGGAATACCCAACTCAAGCCTCCACCAGCCATTCTGTCTCTTCCAAAGGGGACAAAAATGCTGAGAAACACTTCTGAAGGTCACAGTCTAGAGACACAGGCTCACTAAAAAACTGAAACCTAATCACAACATTATAGAAATCTCCCCTCAATACCATAGGACCACATCGACAGTGCTCCTGTATAAAAACAAGAAATTACAATTCAAAGAATGGCATTTAATACAGTACCTAAGAAGAAGCCTCTGGAGACTAAAGTCAACAGGGCAGACAAAAACAAGAGGACTACATGAAAATGTAGCCGCTGACACCTACTATTATAGTAAACTATAAACACAGCCTCATTTCCATAAAGATAAACACAAAATATCACATTAAAAACTATTTATCACAGTTTCTTTTACCTGAGACATTATGTCTCGCTTTCAAAAAAAAATTACGACCTATAGTATGTGG